AGGGGGCCTCGGTGTTTTTTGGTTGGGAGGTGTGGGGGGGGGGGGAGAAATGCGCAGATCTGACCTCACAGAGGAGGAAGAGCTTGTACTTGAAGGCGGGCCGGGGGCTCTGCAACTTTCCTGGCTGCTTCTTGCTCCTCGTGGCCGGGCTGAGGGCTGCTGGGAGCAGGGGTGGGGCTTGTTGCATGTGCCCGCCCCCTGAGCTCCTTACTGCCAGAGCTCCGCTCCTGTGCGCTCCCGCAGGAAATGACCCCTGGCCGTGTGAAACAGGAGGTTGGGCTAGGTTTTGGCCTCATCATAACCCTGTGAGGTAGGTGATGCTGAGAGAGTGCAATTGGCCCACGGTCATCCAGTAAGCTCCACGTGACTGCTGTGCCACACCCAGAAGATGAGAAAAAACCTCCAGGATCTCCAGCCAAACTGGCCTGGAGAAAAAATGGCTTCCTGGGCCACTTCTAATGCCATTGCTGGATTCGAACCTCAAAACACTGACCTACACAGTAGTGGGGCTACCCCCTGTGCAGCTGTGTACAAAGATTCTGTGCATTTGCTTGCCAGAAAAATGGCTTTGGGGAGGCTTTGGAGGCGGAGGAAACTTGGAGGCTCCCCCCCCCCCCCCCCGCCTTTGCTCTACATCTTAAACTTTGCATCTTGGCTCCTAAAGTGTCTTCTTTTAATCCAGCTAAAACATTAGAGTGCTTAATCTGCATAACCCATGTTCTCAGACACACAAGAACATCAGAAGAGCCCAGCTGGGTCAGACCCATTGTCCCTTTAGTTCAGCATCCTGTTTCACACAGCAGTCAGCCAGTTCCCCCAGAGGGCCAACGACAGGGCATAAACACAGAAGAAAAAGAAGAGATTGGAATCATACCCTGCCCTTCACTACCCGAAGGCGTCTCAGAGCGGCTTACAATGTCCTTTCCCTTCCCCTCCCCACAACAGACACCCTGAGAGCCAGTTTGGTGTAGTGGTGAAGTTGTTGTTGTTCAGTCGCACAGTCGAGTCCGACTCTTTGCGACCCCATGGACCAGCTCTCGCCAGGCCCTCCTGAGAGCTCTCTCAGCACCACCTACCTCACAGGGTGTCTGTTGTGGGGAGGGGAAGGGAAAGGAGTTTGTAAGCTGCTCTGAGACACCTTTGGGTAGTGAAGGGCAGAGTATAAATCCAAAATCCTCCTCCTCCTCTTCTAGGTGGGGCTGAGAGAGCTCTTTTGAGAACTGCTTCTGAAGAACAGCTGTGAAAGAGCTTGTGACTGACCCAAAGTCACACCAGCAGCTGCATGTGGAGCAATGGGGAATCAAACCCAGTTCTCCTAGATTAGAGTCTGCACTCCTAACCACTACACTAAACTCGCTGTTACAGACTGAGGCCTTCTTCTTATGTTGCCTCGTGGCCAAGGCCCCCTCTCAGCTGTGGAGTCCTGTGAGCAAAAATTCTACTTTGTGAGCTACTTGCATTTATTTATTTATTTATTATTTACATTTTTATCCCGCCCTCTCCAGAGGCTCCGGGCGGCTAACAGGCATATAGCTGATAAAACAATAAAAACAGTACAAAATATTAAAAGTACATCACAATTTATAGCCTATCTAAAAGCAAGACTATCTAAAAACAGGATGGCAGTCCTCTGAACGTCCCATTCTCGCCCATGATGCAACAGATTTTTAGGGCTTTGATGGTCCATGCCCATATCCAGATGTCCATATACTGGAAATTCCGGGGATTCCAGGAATTCCAGGGCGTTGGTGGTATACTGATGCATTGGTGGTATACTGGTGGTGGCAGCGGCTCCTATTCAAAAGCCTGGCGGAAGAGCTCCGTCTTACAGGCCCTGCGGAACTGCACAAGGTCCCGCAGAGCCCTGATATCCTCTGGGAGCTCATTCCACTAGATAGGAGCCGCCACAGAAAAGGCCCTGTTCCTGGTCATGATTAGTTTGATGGACCGGGGACCCAGTACATCCAATAGGTTCCGGCTCCCCGACCGTAGTGCCCTTGGGGGAACATGTGGGGCAAGGCGGTTGTGCATTAAAGTTGTGAGCAAGCGATTTGGCTGCCGCATAAAATAGTTTGCTCTGGAGCCCTCCTTCCTGAGCGGAGACAAAAACGTGTGAGCTGGAGGCTAAAGAACTGCTTCTGAATGTGGAGGTTCCCTTTTGTCACCAATAGACCTCTCCTCCATGCATCGAATCTCCTTTGAAAGCCATCTGTGCCCGTGGCCATCACTACATCCTCTGGCAGCAAATTCCACATTTTAATCACTCATGTAAAGAAATATTGCCTTCCTGTTGGCCTGGGGTCCACCCGTAGGGAGAGATTACCAAAAGGAAACCAGAGAAGGTCCCAGACCTTGAGTAGGCCCGATGTGTTGGTGAAGAAGAGGGTGGGCGCAGGTGATGAACTAAGGGGGAAAAGAAACTCTTTAACGGCCCCTCCTTCTCTGTGCCCCATTTCTAGGATCTGGTGCACCGTATCCTGCGCCCGGCTTCCAAGCGCCTCAACATCCTGGACGTGCTGAAGACCACCTGGGTGCTGAAGTACCTGGCCGAGAAGCCCACCACCGAGCTCAAAGCCCTGGAGGCCATCTGCGGGTCCCGTCCAGCGGAAGCCGCGGCCAGCAAGGCCGCCACCCCTGGCACCAAATCCCGCTCCCTAACCTTCATCCCCGACAAGAAGAGGGGCGCGAGTCGCACTCGGAGCACCAACCAACTGAAAGGGAACAAAAGCACCGGCCAGCTGAAAGGGGCCAAGAATGCGGAGAAAACCAGTTGAAAGGGACCTATTAAAAGGAGAGACTGTCCCAAGATCCCCCCCTGTGAACTTCTAAGCAGGAGATGGTTGTGGTTATGAGGGGGGGACAGGTGGAGGGGAGTAACCAACGGTAGGGCGGGGCACTCCCGAAGGATGCCACTGTGCACACATCCTCCTCTTTAAAGGGATGGTGCCCACAAGATTTGGGATGTGAGGTTTAGCGGTCGACAAAAAGGAGATGACGTCTGACCATCGAAGGTCGAAAGCGCTGGACAACTTTGGTGGCGGGGAGATGTGACCCGAATGGGGTCAACCAAGATCCGCGCCCCCATTCCTAGTCCATTCCTCGTTCAGTCTGTGACAAACGTAGGAGACATTTTTGGCGAAAAGTTGGTAAACCTCCCCCCCCCCGTGTATTTTAAGTGTGTTTACAGCAAAAATGCTACATCCAAGTTACTGTGGTCCTACTTTTCTGTGAAATTAAAAAGCAACACCCCCCCCGATAACACAGCATTTGAAACAGTTCGGACCCTGGTGTAACACCAGGACCAGGGGCAGTTTTCACGGATGGAGAGGGGCTAGCAAAAACCCCCCCCCCCCGCATTGTTTGAAGGGTCCCATTTCTCACAGGAATAGCATTTTGTGATTCTGCCGGTCGAAATCCCTTCCGCCCACAGAACTCCTCAGTGGATCCAAGCCTCTGTCTCTTCACAATGGACCAGTTCCGCAAGCCTCTGTCTCTTCACAATGGACCAGTTCCGCAACATCATCACCTCCAGCTCACAGGAACAAAAATGAAATCTTTTTTTACAAAACTTCTCAAATGATTTTTCAAGTAAAAGTAGCAACGGGCTGGCTGCTTCCTGGGGGTTGTTACCCCAGGCTTTGAGGACCATTCATTCCAGGAATCCTTCTTAAATTGGAAGCAATGATGCTACAGGGGCATTGTAATCTGCCGCCCGTTCACTCTCTCGGATCTACCTTTCCAGCGGCTTCCCTGTATAACGAATTCATCACAACCAGACAGTCCCATGAACCCGGGAGCACCATTTTCGACAACTTTTCGTCACGCCTGTTTTCTCAGTCGGTATGGAGGCTGCTCGCTGCCCCCCACTGGCCGAGAATGAGCCCCTCTTTCATCCCTCACCTGTCCCAGGTGACGTTCCACGCTGGCTCAACAAAACCACTCCAGCACTCCCAGCCACCTTCGCGAGGAAGATGGTACATCTTGCTTGATGTATTTCTCTGCTGTCTTGCAGGTTTCTTGATAAGCACCTTTCCCCTGGTTTCATTTCAGAAGGCCAGGCTGCGAGAGCCTTCTTAGCGGTTTCACTGCCATGCCCAGCAGTGCAGGAGCCTCTAGAGTACCTTGCGCTTCCACGCCATCAATGCAATGCCTGTCCAAACTTCTATTCCACTGGATAGCCTGGCACAGAGGATATGCAGCGGGATGTACTTTGGCTTATCTGATGAGCTAGATTTCACTCCCCGCTTTTCTGTGGAAAGGGGCCACTCGCGCTGCTAAAACCTGGGCGTCACATTTTGGCAGTCACGTGCATTCAGTGCAATAGGATTTCTTGCGTCAGCCCACTCAGTTGGCCAATGCATTCACCGTGGGGTTGGAAGACTTCACGCACGCATCGTCTCTGAACCCTGCAGAAGTAATTATGGTCTTGTTCCCGGGTGCCTGGAATATGAATTATTCAGAAAGGAAACAAACAAGATCGACCTGACAGTCTGGGAGAGGCGAGACAGAGAGGCGTTTGATTGGGAGCAGGACAATTCCATCTTGGATGCATCTCCGGATGGGCTGAATATCTTTAGATAGTTTGCATCTTGTTCCTTCTTTGACAAAGGATGACGCAGCTGTGAAGAACAGAGCGCAACCCCGTGCTTGGCCATCGGTCACAAGACATGGAGTGTCTCCACGTGTCACCAGAGCACGATTAAGGATGAGGCCAGTCAAGGGATCTGCAAGACCTTGTTTCCTGTTGTGAGGTCTCCAGCCAGTTCTGCAAGTGCAACGGGCACAGGCATCGATTCATGTTGCAATCCCCCCCCCCCCAATGTCTACGACCCGCCCATCTTCCCAAGTCACAAGTGACCTGGCACCTTCCAGTCAGCTTCTGCAACTATGTGCATGTCTTGTGTTTGCTTCTGCCCCACGCGAAGAGATGCAAACGTCGACGCCTTTCCTTGCTTGGAGACAGCATGGGATTTTCGTGGCAGAATCCCTTCCACTGGCGCCAAGTGTCTTCTCCAAGCAAAAAGCAACCAACTGCTTCTTCCAGACTTGTTCTGCACTGAGCAGAGGTGCTTGATCCACTCTCTGTAGTTATATCCATCGTGAAATGCAGTAAGGGATGAGGCCGAAGATACACGGGATCTTTCCAAATTCTGGAATGCTTCACCACAAGGGTCTTGCCGTTTTGATTCCTGAGGATCACTAGATCCCATCAAGACCAACCGTAGACATCGCGTGGGGGTGCAACGCAGGCATCCAAACTGAACGAACAAGCCCACCGGCTGAGTGCAGAATATGTTATTGTGATTCCACCCCCCCTTTCCTGTGGCGTTCAGCGACCCTTGACCGTAGTCAGTGTCAACCAGACTGACCCGTCCACCCAAACCCTTTTAAAGCACCATCTACAACAGAGGAAGGATCCGCTACAGAAGCTGGGGCAAGATGTCACAGTCTCTCTCCAGCGTAACTGGTACAGTCATACCTGGGAAGGTACAGCCTCTTCGGAATGCTCAGTAAACACGATATTAGGATTCCGCGTGTTCCAAGTGCTGCAGAAACCATTCCCCCGTTTTTCACCAAAAATGTCTCCTATTTCAGAACTAAGCATGGTTCTGGGAGATCGTCCCAGATTAATTGGACAGGACGATTATGGATTCTTACCTTGCTCACGAAGGGTGTATCAGTTCCTTGGCGGGGCCTGTGTACGCCACCAAGAGTGTCTGAGCTGTTCCAGGCCACACCTTGCATCTCCCACACCGGGAGAGATCCCCACAAAAATGGTATTGCCCCCTTAGGTCCCTGCAAAACCCAACTCCCTTGCGCCCAAGCCGCGAACACGGCCCTCCCGTTAAACAACTGCCTTAGCATTTTTTCAAGGAGGAAGAAAGGCTTCAAATAAGATGTATGTGTCCCCCTTCGACTCCTCTTTAGGAAAAAGGATTCCGCTCCTTCCCGTGAGAAATTAAATTTGAACGTGCAAAGTGAAGTTCAATTTCTGTGCTCTCTAGCCCTGTCCTATCTCTCCCTTCAAAGTCAGGGCCGCCTGCAGGTTCGACCACCGTCTGTTTTATCTTCACAATGACCCTGCGGAGGAGGTTGGGCAGAGAGAAAACTAAGGTCACCTAGGAAGCTTCACAGGTTTGTAGGGAATTTGAACCCAAATCCCCACCAGGCCCCATCTGACACCAATAACCCATTGGCAGTGTGAGTGAACGCCCTCCAAAGAAAGAGCCAGCACGCACGTCTATGTTTGAGAGCTTGGCTGGTGTAGATCCAGATCCAGCAGTGTTCCCTCTAAGCTAAGTTAGTGTGAGCTAGCTTACAGTTTGTTAGCCCCCAGCTCTCATATTTTTGTCTCAGCTCGGGAAGGATGTGGCTCCAGAGCAAACTGACTGATGCAGCAGCCAAATCGCTTGCTCACATCTTTCATGCCAGGAGCTCACAAAGTAGAATTTTTGCTCACAGAACTCCACAGCCGAGAGGGAGCATTGCCGTTCCCTCTAAGCTTAGTTAGTGTGAGCTAGCTTACAGTTTGTTAGCCCCCAGCTCTCATATTTTTGTCTCAGCTCGGGAAGGATGTGGCTCCAGAGCAAACTGACTGATGCAGCAGCCAAATCGCTTGCTCACATCTTTCATGCCAGGAGCTCACAAAGTAGAATTTTTGCTCACAGAACTCCACAGCCGAGAGGGAGCACTGATATCCACCCTGCAAAATCCTATTAAGGGGTCAGGATGACACTAACCCTCATTCCAACCACAAAGGGGGCAGAAATGTTTCAAGCCAACTTTATTGACGGGGCACAGAGAGAAAAGAGAGTCTGAAAGGCAACTGTGCGGGGGGGAGATGGAGGGATTCCTCCCCCCCCCGCCCCCAGCATCTTAACTCCTGGCCCCCCCGGGGAGATATGAAAAGGGACAGCTTTAAAAATTAGCAGAGATCGGCACAACCGTATGTAAAGAGAGAGGACATGTAAACATCACCTCAAAGCTACAGACACAAGGCCAAGAGGACAGACAGAAAGAGAACCCA